GGCATCCCTCATCATGTGGCATCTGCTTTGAAAGCAAAGGTTTGTGATTTTATTGGTCCAAATGGTTGGGTATTGCCTACTAATTTTTCTTCATCCTTTCCTGTTATTGCTGAGACTATCACCTCAACTCCTATTTCTTTGGAGGTGGGTGTTTATAAACTTATTTGGACAAGTTCTTCATCAGGTCTCATCACTGCTAAGGATGCTTTTTCTTATTTGAATGGTCATAATTCCCAGCTGGTTTGGGGTAAAGCCATTTGGGATTCCTCCATTCAGCCTAGGAAAAGTATTACTACTTGGAAGGCTTTGCATGGACGTCTTCTTACTGATGATCGCTTGTAGAGTCATGGAGTGCCTTTGGTTTATGTTTGTTGTTTTTGTCTGAATGTTGCAGCGACTGTTTCTCACATTTTTGGAGTGCCCATTTATTCAAGAAATTTGGAATTGGTTGTCACTCCTCTTTAATCGACCATGACCATATGTACAATGTGGTTCCCTGGATAATCTTTTTTCAAGTGCTTTCTTTGCTGCTTTGTCTTCTTCTTCTCGCCGTTTTTGGGTGCTTGTTGTTTGTAATGTTATTTGGAGTATATGGTCTCTACGAAACAAGATTCATTTTGAGGGTGCTAACCTATGTATGGCTCATGCCAAGGCTAGGATTCTTATGTGTTCTAAAGAATCTGCCTCTTTGGCTTTTTCTTCGATTCCTTCTACGTCAAGTGCTCCTATTTTTCAGACTTTAGGTGTTTCTCCTTTGTTGTCTACTGCCCCGTGTGTTCATTCCTGTTGTATGGAAACCTCCTAGGGTGGGGTGGATCAAGGTAAATTTTGATGGGTCTTTCAACTCTATAAGCCGTACAGGTTATGGTGCCTCGGGATTCTCAAGGTATTGCTTTGGGTGCTTTTGCATCGTCCGCAAATTTTTGTAGCTCGATTGCAGCTGAGGTTCTTGCTGTAATTGAGGCTATTCGAGTTACCTGGGTTCGTGAATGGCATCACATTTGGTTGGAGACAGACTTAACTACGGTGATTCACTACTTAAACTCTCCTAGTTTTATTATTCCTTGGTATTTGAATGTTGATTGGAGCAATTGCTTGTGGCAGATTAGGCATATGCATGTTTTTGTTTCCCATATTTTTTGCGAGGGCAACTGTGTAGCCAATGCCTTAGCTTACTTTGGTGCATATCACAATGCATATTACTGGCGGTCCAATGTTCCTTCATGTACAGCATCTGCTTATATTCATGATCTTTCTGCTTCTACCAGCTATCGTTTTAGATGACTTTTTTCATATGTTTTCTTTGTAAGTGGGGTTCCTTTATTGTGTTACTTGCAATGTTATTTCCATTAATGAGGTTTGGCTTTATGTGCTCCTCATTTGTATTTCTATTTTTATTTTAATAAGATTATGCGGTTGAATTAAAAAAAAAAAAAGATTTGAAACTTAATCTAGACCATGAAAACAATGCAAACCTATTTCTCAATGATTGGATGTTTAATGCATGAAGAAAGATTTGGCAGCAAGGGTTCCATAAATGAAGAAAAGGGGAAGTTCAAGAGCTTTGAATGCACTTTTAACTCTCTAACAATATAAATTGGACAACCAAATGTCAAATGCGCAACCTAACAAGGGTTTTAAACAAAAAGAAGTTGTTTGTTTTCAGCTAGTAAGGACAAGGACACTTGTCAAGCTAGAAAACGATATGAGCAGATCAAGGGCTAGAAGCTAGCTTTTAGCATAAAAGTGTCAATCAACCCATGTGGGTAGACTTAATTTGCATGCCCAGCTCATAAGAAGTCAACGAACAAAACTGACAAGACAACTAAGCTAGTTAGAATGTGACATGAATTTAGATGTGCCACAACCTTGAACACTTATTTCCATTCGCAAAGGCCCTTAAGGAAATATATAACTAAATAAAGCATGTGTGGTACAATTACAATGTTGACAAGAAAAGCCAACACAAAATCCTAGACTTCACAGATCTCTTCTAGTCAGATCCTCCAAATTTGAAGATTATTGCATGCAAGCCTTGCCTCTAGCACATCCTGAAAACGTTTGCGAAGCCACGACCGCTACCTTGCCTCGAATAGCACCGCAAGTCCATAGATCTTGACTATGATCCTGACAACGTCGTCGTCTCCTCCACATTTGCGCCCCTCTCAACCTTCTATCCGTCAACACCATTATCGAGGATCTCGAGCGATGGCCGCTGCTGCCATCGTAGCTTGTTCGTATTTTGATGATGTCAAAACGTTTTCTTGGCCATGCGATTTTATTTTGAGCAGATACGATTGAAGGATTTTCCAAATCCAAATGGAAGGGATCTTGAAAGGAACCTATTCCAAAATCAAGAGCTCTTAAACACGTCACCTCATTCACCCCACCTTCAAAGTACACCTCACTCTTAAAAAAAAATTCTTATATTGTGAAAAAAAATAAAAAAATTATTATTACAAAAGAAAAGGAAATTGTGACAACCTCTTAACTTCAATCCAATTGGAATAATTGTCACTCAACTAAGAATCTATGATCATTAGTCCTTTAACTCATTTAAATGTGCAGTTATGATCTTTTTCATCAACTCTGTCAAAACTTCTGTCAAAATGAGTCACGTGTCATGCACGTGAACCTGAATCAAGGAGCAAATATGGAAAACCAAATGAGAAAAATGTAGCAATTGTCCCTCAACTTTAACCCAATTGGAACAATGCTCCCTCAATTTTATCCCACTTATAGCAATAGTCTTTCCATCATGACTCATTTTGACAAGAGTTCTGGTGGTGTAAAAATAATCATAGATGCACGTTCTGTAGCAATGGTCTTTTCACCATGGCTCATTTTTCCTTCTCTCTTCATCTTCTTCTTCCCTCTTCTTCCCTCTTCTTCTTCTTCTTCTTCTTCTTCTGCAGGGGGACGAACTGGGTTTCCAATTGTTTTATTTTTGGTTTCCTTCTTCTTTTTTTTTTTTTCTTCTCTCTTCTTCTGCTTCCCTCTTCTTCTTCTTCTTCTTCTTCTTCTTCTTCTTCTTCTGCGGGTTAGGTTGGGGGGGGGGGTGGGGTTGGGGTGGGAGGGGATGGGTTTGCTGCTGTTTTTTTTTTTTTTTTTTCCTTCTCTCTTCTTCTTCTTCTGCAGGGGGACGAACTGGGTTTCCAATTGTTTTTTAATTTTTTTTTATTTTTTGTTTCCTTCTTCTTCCTCCTCCTTTCTAGGTTGCAGGGGGTTGAGTTTGTGGTGGGGGGAGGGGGATGAACTGGATTTGGTTTGGTTTGGGTTTTTTTTTTTTTTTTTTTTTTTTCTCTTCTTCTTCTTCTTTCTCCTTCTTCTTTTCTGGATTGCTGGGTTGCAGGAAGATGATGGGGAAGAGAGAGGGGGGAGATGCACGAAAGGAGAGGGAAGATGATGGCTAATGTTTTTTATTTTTTTATGTACTTTATTATTATTATTTTAATATTTAAATAATATTAAATGATTTTTTTTTGTTTTTACTAATTTTTTAATAAAAATGGGTCCCGAATCAAGCCACGTCAGCATTTAACTGAGAAATAAACGGTCAAGCTAACGAAAGGTATAACATTGACACAAATTCGTAAGATGAGGTATGACATTGTCACTTTTAAAAGATGAGGTATGAAAGTGTCATTTGACCCATACTTGAGGTAGTTTTTTGTAATTAACTCAAAATATAATATGTCAACCTGAAAAATCTCATTTGCAAATAAAAAGAAATACTACCAAATTATAGTACTAATTAATAATAAAAACAAAAAATTTATAATTATCAAACTGACAATTAAAGTTATTGTATTTAATGGGTCAGTAATCAATAGAAAAAATTGGTGGGTCAATAAAACCTTAAGGCTATATGTTAGTAATTTCAATTTGAGATCCCGACCCGAGCCTCTACACTCAGACTTTGTTTATTTACATGCACTTCCTATATTTAAGCCATTATATCAATCCAACGATTTAAAACTTTAAACATCAGCTATAATTAAGTTTAGTTTTTAGGAGAGTAAATAAAATTCTCCCGAACAAAGTCCAAATGCAACACTTTTTATAAAGGAAAACTAATGAAAAGAGTTTGAAAACATTGAGTTTTAACGATAAGGGCAAAATAAAGGGTAAAATGAATAGTACCAGGTTTGACTTTTTAGTGTAAAAATATGATTTTTCATTAAAGTGAACAGTACTGCGAACTTTTCGTTAAAACTCCTTTTTTATAATAGCTTAACGAAATGTGGGTAGATGCGGAAAGTCAAAATGTAAACGCTTGGAATCCTTTCGATGTGTGAAGAGACATACTACAATTAGTTATAAGTTTGAAGTTCATGTGACAAATAACGTTATCAGACAGTCATAAATTAGAAGAACAACTTTGAAATTCCTGTGAACTTTAGAATATGAGTAGATTAATGACTCTATTAGACATAGTAACTAATTCCAAAAAAAAAAAGTTGTCCTTCCATACACATCTTTGAAGCATATAAGCTCAAAAATTTTTTTTTTTTTTTTTAATCAATTCCGCCATGTTTTAGAATAGAATTGAATAATAACGTCATTAGACAGTGTGACGAACACTTTCTCCAGTCTCACATACACCTCACCGCTCACACAATAATAGCCGTTAATTAGCCGTTGATCCCGTTGTAGGCCCCGCCCTGATTGTAGAATCCGAGACTTGTTTGAATAATTTCCACCCAAAAGCATACACATGACTCACCGACAACCTAGCTTACAGACTGTCCACTCCTCTCTCTCTACCTGAAAGAAATAAAAAACAAAAAACGCATGTGGTACGTGTGAGGGTGATGCTTAATACTTTGTTTATTATTAAGTAATGGTAATGCTCGTTATCTTGTTTATCATTGTAAATAAATTTAAATTTTAAGATTTATATTTATCTTTACCCACATCTTAAAATTAAACTCATTTAACTGCTATAAATAAAGTATGAGCATATGAGCATTATCATCATTTGAAGATAATAAACAAAAATTATTTCCCCATTAGAAAGATAAAAGCAAAAAAATTAAATAAATAAAAAAAAGGCCATTGCCAGTGCCATAGAGGGAGGCCTGCCTTATTCTTCTCTTGCTGCCCTCTCCTCACCAGTCACCACTCTCGACCTTACCTTTTATATAACAACCCTAAACTCTCTCCCTCTCCCTCCCTCCCTCTCCTCCCTCACATTCTCTCTCTCTCTCTCTCTCTCTCTCTCTCTCTCTCTCTCTCTCAGAATTAGGGTCTGCTCAATTTTCTCTGTTTTTTTTTCATTCAAAGTCTTTTGCTTTTAGAGTTTAATAGATAGAAAAAAGATGGCACATTGCTTTGGATTTTCTAAAGCACATTTTAGAGTTGTTCTAGTCTCTGCAATTGTCTTGTTTGCCCTTCTATCCCCATCTGCTGCTGCCACTCCCAAGCCCTCGGCTGCTGCTGCTGCAACTCCTTCCTCCGCCCCTTCTTCCGCCGCCGCCGCCCCTGCCCCTGGCCCTACCAGTGATGGTAACTCACATTTTCCATTTCTTTTGTTTATAATTAGATCTGAAAAGCATTTTGTCGATTTTTGTTTTGGGAAATTTTCTCCCCTATTTTTGGCACTTGAGTTTTGATTTCCCTTCTTCGGTGAGCAATGAGCGCGTTGGGTTCTCTTTTTGGGGTAAATTGCACTAACAGTACAGTAGTTTACTCGAATTTTCACTTTCTAACGTATTTTCGTACTTGTAGTTTACTTGTAGTTTCATTCGGTTAAATACCATTAGTCTAATCCGTCAAAAATCGACTTAATTGACGATTGGACTTAAAGTGAAACCAGAACGAAACTATTAAGGGTTTAGTTTATAATTTTGGTTGTAAAATGTGCAGGGACATCAATCGACCAAGGGATTGCATATGTGCTGATGCTAGTGGCTTTGGTGCTGACATACCTCATTCATCCTCTGGACGCATCAGCATCCTACAATTTCTTTTGAGTTGGATTTTTTTTAGATTAATTAGTAAAAAAAAAAAAAAAAAAAATGAGAAAAAATGGTGGTGGTTTTTTCCTTTTTCCTCTATTATTTATTTGAGTGTGTGTGTGGTCGTTTGTGCATATTTAGAGAAATGGATGATTGGTAATATCTGAGGCTGATTTAGCTTCTTTTAGATAATTGTTGTCAAATTATTGTTCCTTTCTTCCTCTCTGTTTCATTCCTTGCTTTTACCATATTCTCATTGACGACACAAACACACTTTATTGTGTTATCCTGTCACAAAATCTTATCTATTTGTAAGAAAATCTTATGTGTTGGGATTAAAGTCTACTGCGCATGTTTTGGCCCTACCCAAATTTAGGGTTTCGAATCCATGGATGTGACCTGACACGCCTGAAAAAGTATTATGCATTCATCTTCTCTTTACGTTTACAAAACATGACTAAGATTAAAAGTCGAGAAAATACAAGTAGAGGAACTAGATCCGAACAAGAAACATGCAGTTGTGATACACTTGAGTTTGGGCATACAGAAAGCGAAACAGATAGATAAGAAGTGAATTGTCTAGTATGCTCTGGTTATTTTCTATTTCGGAACTTTTGGTTGTTAGATCTTGGAGCAAACATATAATGATTAAGATTTAACGGTTAAAAACCATAGTGAATACCCTCAAGTATAATAGAATTTTTCAAATAAGATGTTCAGCAACGCACAATATAATAGAGTATGATTCTCTCTCCTTCTATTCCCTCTCATCCCTTTCCCTCCCCTCCTCTCACAGATTATTTTTTGTCTTCTTCTAACTATTAAAAAGTTATCACAAAACGTTAATGTGGCTTAACGGTAACCGTTTAAATAGGAAGGGAGGGAAGGAGAGAGAGACTAGTAAGAGAGAGAATCCTTCTCCCAATATAATTGAATTTTCTGATACACAAGCTACCTTGCTGCAGGTTCTAGTTGACGAACGTGGATTCCGACCTTCCCTTTTTCAAAATTCTCCACCAAATGAATCAAAATCTTATAGCTCTAATCACATGAACAGGATACCAATTTCCGGTATGCAATACCAAAACATGCAAACTCACGGCCAAACATGACTAAAAACAGGCAGAATAATATGATGTATAAAGAACTAAACCAGGAATAAATTCTGGAAAATGATTTTCTTTTGAGCCATTTCGGAATGAATCTGGGTGATTACTTACAGAGTAAGCAACACACACGTGTAACTGACAGAAAACTAACAAGAACAAGATTAATTTTTATAATAACTAACCAGAAAAGGCATACTAAATGCATCCCTTACCACCTAAATATTCACATTTCGAGATCCACTATTGGGATGGAAATTACAAAAAGAAAAATGATATTAGTGTGGAGTCTAAAAAAATCTCAAAAATTCTAGAGGCAACACGTGAACTTTTGCTCAAGAAAGACAAGATTGCCCTCATTAAATGGGCAAGCTCCTCAGATACTCCCACGCGTAATTCACACCTTGTAGCTAAATACGACATCAATTAGGGATAATTACTCTATTATTTCCTATTTAATATCTTGAGAATATTTCTCCATAAACTTTGACCAATAGGATGCCGTCATGTGTAGGGCAAAACCCTAACACCATGACTAGCCACTACCCTACATACCCCCAATTTTAACAAATTTCAGTAAACTTTTGATACCCCTAAAAGCCCTAAACACTGACTCTTTTTTAGAGAAACTAACTTAGGCATCGGAGATCCATTGACCTAACCCCCATCCACCTCATGGGCGCGTGAGGCTTAGGTCCTTGATCAAAGACGTTGATTGTGTTGCAAGTGCATTTTCAATAAAGTTAGAGACGACGGAAATTTAGATCAACAATTAGTGTAGAAAATATCATTGTTCAAAAAAAAAAAAAAAAAAAAAAAAAGGGGGAAAAAGAACACGACTGCTTGAACACGAACCTGGCACAGGAACCGCCCTTCCGGAATTTAAACAGATATGACATTGGTGAACTTATTGCCACAACGGGATAGAGGGATATAAGGCAAGCAAGTTCAATGCACACTAAAACCGCATGAAGTCTATTCATCCATCGGGTTTTAGGGTTTGTGAAAACGAAAAAAATCACAATCCTCAACAAACACACACATCCATACATTGAGAGAGAGATGTTAAGATTATTAAAGTACAAATTTGATTTGTGTCATAACATCCAAATTTGATTCGATTTCTGAACCAATAATTTGAAATCCGATACACACTAGAGAAATAAAATGCATGCGTGTACAAACATGTATGCAATGAAAAAAAAATCAATGTAACACGGAACACGAATTGATACACTACAAATTGTAATACAAGTAGATGAACATCAATGTGGTTTTTCGACTTGTAACTAGTCATCTCCGACATCTCAAATGCGGTCACCTTACAGGTTTCTATTTTCTTCTGAGGCCGCTTTTTGGCGGTTTTAGACCGATTCCTGCAACTCTATCACATGCGTCATATTTGGATCTCTCTAATAATAACATTTCAGGGTTGATTTCTTTCTTGTGTGCAAGTGCAGCTATGAGTTTAAGTTTTCTTAATCTTTCAAGCACCAATCTCTCTGGAGAACTTCCAGAATGCTTGACACATTTGGGCAATCTAGTCATTCGTGATTTGAGTTACAATTTCCTGAAAATTTCCTACGACGATAGGCTCCTTATTTGGGATCGAAACGTTGAAATTATGAAGCAATCAGTTTATGGGAGAGTTGCCTTTATCCTTGAAGAATTGCACAAGTTTAAAGGTTATTGATGTTGCAGATAACCAATTATCGGGATCAATACCTAATTGGTTGGGGGATAGCTTTCAGAATTTGGTTATCTTAATGCTTTCCTGTAACCACTTCAATGGAAGCTTGCCCCCGCAACTATGCCATCTATTATACATTCAAATTTTAGATGTGTCTGTGAACAACATCTCTGGAGGTATACCGAATTGCCTAAAAAAGTTGACTACTCTGGCTCAGAAAGGAAATTCAAGTCTAACCGTCGAACATTCTTATATGAGAAATACTGATGGACATTCATCCATGGGGACTAGTTATGAGGATGACGCAACTTTCATATGGAAAGGAAGCATGCGGGTGTACACAAACACTTAAGGGCTTGTGAAGAGAATTGCTTTCTCAAGCAATAAGTTAAATGGGGAGATCCAACTGAAATCAGCTGCCTAGTTGGCTTGGTTTCTTTAAACCTATCGAGAAACCAATTACCGGGTCAAATTACTCCAGACATTGGAAAATTGGAGTCGTTGGATTCACTTGATTTGTCAAGAAATCAGATAGATGGAAGAATTCCAGCAAGCCTTGCTCGCATAGATCGTCTTGGTTTCTTGGACTTGTCATACAACAACTTGACTGGAAAGATTCTAACTGCCACCCAGCTCCAAAGTTTTGATCCCACTGTTTATGCTGGAAATCCATAGCTCTGTGGACCTCCACTTCAAAATCTGTGTGTATGTGAAGAAATAGGTCCAGATCAAGTTAGTAATGAAGACGACAAGGATGATCAGCTTATAAGCTACGGATTTTACATCAGCATGGGGCTCGGGTTTGTTGTTGGGTTTTGGGGAGTTTGTGGAAGTCTGATATGCATCAGGGAATGGAGGTACACATACTTCAAGTTCTTGAATTTGCTGAATGACTGGTTTTATGTGAGGGTAGTGTTGATCAAGTGGAAATTAACGGACGCTTAACAGATAAGCTATAGCGTGTGGTACGTAATCTCCCTATCAACAATCCATCACGATAATTTGGTTTTTATGATTAATTGTCTTCGTCGAACTTACTGGTGCTTGTTTATTTTTATACGTAGCATCACGCATCTTCTTCACTCCACTTCGATTGTGTGGTTGCCATGACCAAATTATCTGCAGAAGCTTTCAAGTATTGGATTCTGCTTAATACCGAAATAATGAGATCGCAGAAATGTACTAGGGATATGTTTTCCTTGGTAAATGATTTGATACCGTGCCTTGTTTGTAAGAACTTAATTCATAGGGACTTCTCCAAGCAACTGTTTTTTATGAATATTGTTCTAGTTTAATTGTTTTACATTAAGAGATTTCTGTAGCAAATCGTTTTAGATGAATTTGTTTTTTAACTTTATGTTTTCTCTCTAGTAAGTTGGGTTCCCCTGCCGTATCACTTGCTCTGTTGTTTCCTTGGCAAGGTTTGGTTTTACGTTCCCCTCATTTGTATTTCTCTTTTAATTTTAATAAGATTAAGGGGATGAACGGTGAGTGCTATTGCCTCATCCTTTTGAATTTTCTTAAAATTAAAAATTTCTGCAGTAAAATAATAATTCATATTTTGATTTTCAGCGCATTCTAAACTAGTTAAGAATTCAAATATTAAGTTAACTAGTAATTCAAGCCAATACAACGCAGAATTTTTTTTAATTTCGTTAGAGGATGGTGCCTAACTTAAAATTAATTTCAAGCAGCAGCACATCATCCAAGTCCTCTTTCCTGTTTTGTTTTTGTATATACTAGTATGTTTCTCTGATTTGATCAACCACTGCTTAACTTTTCATTGTAACTCGGAAGCGTACTTTTCTTTGTAGTCTATTAGAGACGAAATCGCAGACCAACTGGAGGAATAGAACCCAGATTTAACTAAAATAATTAAGTAGCAAAAGAAATCCGCGATCAAGTAAAACGGACATGATACCCTCACTAATGGTGCAAGCAAGTTATATCCCACATAGCAGCAGATAGATACTGCGGTCCTGTTCTCTGTTTCTCTGGTCACCTATTGCTAGCTTCTCCATGTAACTCGTAAGCCTAGCTACTTCTCTTTGTACCATATTTGAGAAGAAATGTCACCCAGATTCGGCTCAGATGATTATTTACCGAAAGAAATTCACCACTGTACAAAATCGATATGATTGTGATTTGTGACGCTACAAATACAAGTCCATCATACACCAGTACTGACTGAAAACCGGATTGATATATATATATATATTGCAGCAGATATTTTTGCTCCTCATTCTCTTTTAATTTGCAACGACATGTTCTTGTCAATATAAATTTGATGCAAGCTTGTATTTTGAGATGTAAACTACTTCCATGTGCATGCTTTGGTTGTGCTCCAGCTTCCGCGTTGAGTACTATATGAAACTACACAAATTTCGAATGACCAAAATCTAGAAATGTTCTCTTGGTCAC